TCGTCATGGTCCCCGTCATCAGCAGCATCATCATCATCATCAGCAAGAGCATCATCGCATCATCAGCGGAGCTGTTCATCAGTATCAACCTCGTAATCATCATCAGCAGTATCATCAGAATCGCCATCCTAATCACCACCATTACCATCACCATCACCATCACCATCACCATCACCATCACCACCAACACCCTCACCCTCATCAGCATCATCATTATGATCAGCATCATCATCATCAGCATCATCACGGCTCTCTCACCCTCAAACAATCGCCACCCAGAATGCCGGGCTGGCAAGGTGGCAGGACTTGCCGCAGGCAGCTGGATAGTCTTCCAGACCAGAGCTAACTTGAAACATGTCGTCCACAAAACGTACAGCTTCGTCGAAGCAAGAGCCCAAAATAGCTCCTGATATCATAGCCACCATCATCACTACGGAGGACACCAGCTTGGCTTTTTCCTCAGAAGGGGCACCGCCCAGAATTACGTCTGAAGTGGCAAACGCAATTGTGACCACATTGTTCGTTGTACACCAAGGCAACGAACCAAAACCATTCTTCACGCACAGAGCATCCTGTAGCCCAAATACTGGTGCGAGCCGTAGCACGTTCAACCTGTTGGGTGGCATTGTCTTCCCGATGCCGCTGAAATCCTCAAGGACATCGTGCACCGTGATCCAGAGTACGACAGCAGGTGCGAAGTGCTTCGCAGACCAGCCAAAGCCTCTTTCAAGTACGCGGTATAGACTGACGCCAAACATGAAACAAACAATTAACAAAACATTGAAAACGGGTTCAGGAAGCCCTGGACTTGACTGAACATCTAAGCCTCCAACGTACTGTGGCACGCTGTTGCCTAGATTCAGCATGTTACCGACCATCATGGTGGCAAAAGCGTGGTATCGAGATACGCAGACTGCGTCAACCCATCCGTTTAAGAAGGAGAAGCCCGCCATAAGGCCCAACTTGCTTCTCCGAGAAATGTTCTCCATCAGCCAAATGAACTGTGTAGGCCGGGGCGTCGGGCTCGATCAAGCCAAGCGCAAGCGACGCCCAGACTTGGGCTGCCATGGCGATGGATATAGCAACCTTGCGTGAAATGATGGCATGTCAGCGCTGTCCGAGCTCACCGCTTACACACAAACGAGCACGGACGCACACAGACGCACACACACAAACAAACACACACACGCACACACACAAACACACACAGACATGTTGGCGTCGCGGCCCCGCGCGAAGCCACAGGGCTTGGCAAGATTGAACAAGAGGGCGCGCGCGCGCGTCTAAAGACCCAGCCCTCAAGCTGCTTGGAGCAAGCAGCGCCGCGGCCAGCCGTAAGTCATCGAGGCACGGATGACGACGGGTCTGACGAGGCAGGCAGATCACCGACCGGCATGGAAACAACTTGACCGAGAGGGCATGGGCGGCGCAGTGAGGAAACTACAGCGACGCCATGGTCAGACGACTGGCAGAAGAGCACGACTAGGTACAAGAAGGCAGCAGGCCAGCAGTGGCGGCGTGGGTGTACACACACACACACACTTTTTGGCGTCGCGGCCCCGCGCGCAGCAACAGGGCGTGGCAAGATTGAAGACGAGTGCGCGCGCGCGTCTAAAGACCCAGCCCTCAAGCCGCTTGGAGCAAGCAGCGCCGCGGCCAGCCGTAAGTCATCGAGGCACGGACGACGACGGGTCTGACGAAGCAGGCAGATCACCGACCGGCATGGAAACAACTTGACCGACAGGGCAAGGGCGGCGCAGTGAGGAAACTACAGCGACGCCATGGTCAGACGACTGACAGAAGGGCACGACTAGGTAAAAGGAGGCAGAAGGCCAGCAGTGGCGGCGTGGGCACACACACACACACTTTTTGGCGTCGCGGCCCCGCGCGCAGCAACAGGGCGTGGCAAGATTGAAGAAGAGGGCGCGCGCGCGCGCATCTAAAGGCCGAGCCCTCAACCCGCTCAGAGCGTGCAGCGCCGCGGCCAGCCATAAGTCGTCTGGGCATGGATGACGGGGGCCCCAGCCTTCCCCCCTGGGCGCGCCGCCAATCTCGTCGGCAGGCACTCATGTGAGGGGTAACGATAGGGGGAGACTGGCATAGGGAGACGCATCGGCCTGGGATCAGCGATACATCGCCGATAGATCGGCCGTAGGCCCCCGATAGCAAATCCCGGCGCCCATGCGCGGGGTAACTAGGACTGTTGGGACCCCATCGACAATCAATGGTCGGAGGCGCGCAAGCATGGATTAACGATCCATGGATTTGGTGAGCGGTCGCCAAATCCATGGGTCGGGGGAGGTGCCCTCTCCAAAATGCGGCCAGCGTCGCCTCGCTCGGCGGCAGAAAAATCCACGACTACCCATGGAAACGGGACCCGTCGCTAATCGACGCCCCCGTGGTCCATGGCTGCGATCGCCTGGCATGGGCGATTGAAGCCGATGCATCCCACCCTACTTGGCGGCGCGCAGAAGGGGGGTAGGGGGAAGGGGGAAGGCTTCTTAGAAGGAGGCTGCTTCTTAGAAGCCGCGGGCCTGACACTTACAGACAAGGCCCGCGCCCTCTAAGGAGCAGGGGGACTCCTAAGAAGCCTTCCCCCCTCCCCCTACCCCCCTCTGCGCGCCGCCAACCTACGCCTGTTCCCCCCGCATCGTTGCCCCTGCTCACGGCTGGGGCCCGAGGGTAGGAAGGCACCAACTATACACCAACACCGATCCTGGCCAGGATCACCCTGGGCCCAGGATCGGTGTATACGCCCTCCTGCCTTGCGCAAGAAGGCATATACACCGATCCTGGGCCCAGGGTGATCCTGGGCCAGGATCGGTGTTGGTGTATAGTTGGTGCCCTCCGAGAGGGGGCAGAGCCTCGCAGGGGCCGCGGGCCGGCCCGCTGGAAGGCCGCGAGCCCCGTGCGGAGCCCGAGCGGAGGGCTGCCTGCACGCGGGGGCGCCCCGTGGCCGAGCGCGTCCGAGGGCTGCCTGCCAGACCACCCCAACCCCACCAGAAGATCCGAGCTTCGGGTTGGGGGGGTACTCCAGATTTCGTAATCAAGGGAGGGGGGTCTCATTTCGGGGGGGTCTCTTCCAGGCTATCTTGGAGGGCCTGGGGGGGTCTGGGGACGATGTTTTGGAGGGTTATCCCACGGGGGAGGTCTGAAATGGCTCGTCTTGGAGGGTCCAGACCCCCTCCCTTGTATTACGAAATCTGGAATACGGTTTTCATACGGTGCGGGCGCGGCCGCAAGAAACCCTCACAAAAAAAACAACCCTGAGAACCCGTGCGCGAGGTGCACCTGAGGGGAAACCCGGAGGACCCTGAACGCAGCAGCTCCTTCAACGGCTGCGGGAAGTCACCGCGCAGCGCGAGGAGCGAAGAAACCTAGAATACCCTGACGAAAAGAATATGGTTTCTCGATGCGCGCCCCCACTGTATGTGTCATTTCAATGTTCCCCGCCCCCCCCCACCACTGGAAATTGAAGGCAAATCGGGGCCTTCGGGTTGGGTTGGGGTGGTTTGGTGGGCGGTGAGTCCCACAGAGCCAAGGTTTCGCGCGTCCCCGTACAGGCGGATTCTGGACGAAAAATAAAAAATGGTCCAAAAAATTGTTCCTCCCGTGGAGGGACAGGCCCGACTTACAGCCAGGTACGCGAGCACTTTGGGCCCCCAGTGGTTGAGGAAAGCGACCCAAGTCCAGGAATCCTGAATCGGCCACCTTGTCAGCGCCTGGCTACTGGCTACACATGCAGAGATCAGTAGGAGGATGCCCAGGTTGTTCGACCATGGGCCCCGCGTTGTCCATCTGCCTTGGGCGGTCTTGGGCGGTCTTTAGTGGTCTCAGGCGGTCTTCGGCGGTTTCTGCGGTCTGCGGCGCGAAAGCTGAATTGTTGTGTCCAATGAGGGGTCCACGATCAAACACCTACGAAAAGTACGAGGAGGAAAATCGCGCGACACCGGTGGCAGGCTACAGCCTCGCATGTAATGTGTGTTCGACATGCTTTCGACCGCAGTGTAGACGGAAAGGCTCGCCCAGACGTGTCTCCACCTTGCTTTCACTCATCCAAACAACTCAAGCGATAATCAGAGTACGTAAAAGTGCCCAATCAGAAGCATCCCATGGTTATAGCTCACGAAAACATTGGCAATATCGGCACTGGTAGTTCAAAAAACAGATTCATGTTCAAACGCACGGGAGTTTATCACAATTAGTTGAAGGATTCGGGCCAGCTAACTCTTTTTGCTGGCACTTACCAGTAATCACAAGCATGTGGATGATGTCGGTTGTGATTGCTGTGTTCCCACAGCTCTGCGTTTGACCTTAGCTCTGTGCAGCATTCCCTCTTAGATTCCCCTTCTTCTGCTCTCCCCCTTTCCTGCTCCATCCTCGCCCTCCTGCTGCTCCCTGCCTTTCCTCGACCTCCCCTCCCTCTATCCACATCCCCTTCCTGCTGCTCCCCATCTTCCCTCTGCCTCCCCTTCCTCTGTCCACATCCCCTTCCCCCTTCTATCCCACCCAGCTCCTTGCCTCCAGCCCCGCCCCGCCTCCTGACCGCCCCCTCTTCCCTCCCTCGTCCCCCACACCCACGCTGGGGGGACCAAGAGGCTCTGCTACCGCCACTCCCTGCACCTCTCCCCCTGGAGTGGGCTCCGACCAGCACTTCGAGGCGGACCCGGCCGTGGCGACGCGGGCCTCCCGGGAGGCCCCCAAAAAAGGCGAGGGCAACCAGCGGCATCGGCACCCTCTCCTCCTCTAGACGAGCGCGTTCCACTACTCGCGAAGTGACTGCTCGCAAGGAGGAGGAGGAGGATGAGGAGGAAAAGGAGGAGGAGCAGGAGGAGCAGGAGAAGGGAGGAGGAAGGAGGAGCAGGAGGAGGAGGAGCAGGAGGAGGAGCAGGAGGAGGGAGGAGGAAGGAGGAGGGAGGAGGAGCACTTTGCGAGTAGGCACTCTGCGAGCAGTGTAACGCGCCCAGCGATCCTCCGACTCCCCTCCGGCGGCGGAGGGCCATCATGGCTCTGGCCGTGTCCTCGGGCGCCTCCGCGTCCTGTCCGGGCACCTGGGAGCCTCCAGAGGCGGGGGGGGGGGGCACGGGTTAGGTTTAGGTCGGGCCTGTCCCCCTACAGAGGGATTTTGGATGAAAAGATTCCCAAAAATGGTCGAAAAATGGTCTCCATACAAACTATTTTTGAGTATTCCTCCTGTAGAGGGACGGGCCCGACTTAAGGTTAAGTCGGGCATGTCCTCCTACAAGCGGAGTTTGGGCGAAACATCAGAAATAGTCAAAATAAAAAAAAACAACAACAAAAAAAGATGGTCAAAAATGATAACTAGACGACAACAACAACAACAACAACAACAATCATTTTACCCGAACGCGTGGTGTTCTCCCCAGTGCCAGGGTTTTCATACGACACCAGGCAATACCCCCACTTCGTGGGGGGGCATTACAAGCTCTACCAAATATCCAAACGACTCTTCGCGACCACCCAAACCCAGCTTCCCGCCCTATGACGTTGGGACACTTCACTTCGTGGCGTGCGGACGACCGTGGCTACTATGGCGTGGGGTACACACCCACAGAACCCAATGGTTTTTGGAGACGGCGTGCGCGCGCGAAGAAAAAACGAATGTGTCCCGCATGGTATTATTTGACAGGGATGATGGCCCTGGCAGGTGCGCAACCGTTGTCGCAGAAGTTCGAAAAAGTTGCTCGCAAAAGCCCGTTTGACAGAAATGTTTAAAAAGTGTTGGGTTTCCTACGAATCCGCAAGAGCGCGCGGGATGAGATTTTGACATTTTTTTGTTGAAAAACCATTGGTTTTTTGATGTTTTTATGTTAAAATCGCTCCGAACACTAAGCTTTTGGAAGGATTTCGTCTTGCGCGCGCGAATGTCCACTTTACCTTATTTTTTGCAAGGGATTCTTGAAATTTGATTATATTAGAACAAGAAATGTCATTTTATAGTGTTTTTTGCAAGGGAAAACGGATTACAACAAAACAACCGGATCTTGATCACATCGTTTTACCTGAGGCTTCCTCACGAAAATGATGAAAATGTAGCTGCGGCCTAGGCGGCGCAGGGGGGGCGCGCACCAGGGGGCCCAACAATAATTATTCTTTAGAATTAATAATGTTCAACAACAACAACAACAACAACAACAACAACAACAACAACAACAACAACAACAACAACAACAACAACAACAACAACAACAACAACAACAACAACAGCAACAACACAACACAGCAACAACAACAACAACAACAACAACAACAGCAGCAGCAGCAGCAGCAGCAGCAGCAGCAGCAGCAGCAACAACAACAAACAACAACAACAACAACAACAACAATCATTTTACCCGAACGCGTGGTGTTCTCCCCAGTGCCAGGGTTTTCATACGACACCAGGCAATACCCCCACTTCGTGGGGGGGCATTACAAGCTCTACCAAATATCCAAACGACTCTTCGCGACCACCCAAACCCAGCTTCCCGCCCTATGACGTTGGGACACTTCACTTCGTGGCGTGCGGACGACCGTGGCTACTACACTGGCGTGGGGTACACACCCACAGAACTTGGTCACTTATTCGGGGCGCGCATGTGCCCAGCATGGTGCAATTGTGCCATACAATACATAATACAGAGAGACAGAGAGAGAGACAGAGAGCAGACAGAGAGAGAGACAGAGAGAGCGGAGTTGGTCACATTTTTGGGTCAAGTTCCTGGGATGATGGGAATACACAACTCTGTTACATTTGATAGTGTGCACGACACACATGAGATGATACGTACTCGCAAGATAGTTGGTCACATTTGTGGAATTCCTGGGCGTGCGCGCGCGAAGAAAAAACGAATGTGTCCCGCATGGTATTATTTGACAGGGATGATGGCCCTGGCAGGTGCGCAACCGTTGTCGCAGAAGTTCGAAAAAGTTGCTCGCAAAAGCCCGTTTGACAGAAATGTTTAAAAAGTGTTGGGTTTCCTACGAATCCGCAAGAGCGCGCGGGATGAGATTTTGACATTTTTTTGTTGAAAAACCATTGGTTTTTTGATGTTTTTATGTTAAAATCGCTCCGAACACTAAGCTTTTGGAAGGATTTCGTCTTGCGCGCGCGAATGTCCACTTTACCTTATTTTTTGCAAGGGATTCTTGAAATTTGATTATATTAGAACAAGAAATGTCATTTTATAGTGTTTTTTGCAAGGGAAAGCGGGGGGGAACAAAACAACCGGATCTTGATCACATCGAATTACCTGAGGCTTCCTCACGAAAATGATGAAAATGTAGCTGCGGCCTAGGCGGCGCAGGGGGGCCGTGCACCAGGGGTCCCAACAATAATTATTCTTTAGAATTAATAATGTTCAACAACATGACTATGCGACACTATTCTGGGTATTTCCCCGCGTAGAGGGGCGTGCCTGACGTAAGACAGGGGAAAAAAGGCACCCGACGCCGCGCGAGGCCTGCCGCGGGCCACGGGGACCCCTCGCGGGCGCCGCCTCCTGCAAGATCCGGCGGGCGCTCTGGCTGATCCCCCGCTTGCCTTGACCCCCGTCTCTGGGCTCCGGCCCACCCCCCGCCCAGAGGTGCTGCCAAATGGCCGATAGAGGTCCCTGCAGAGGACGGAACTGTTCTCTCGGGGGCTGGGGAGGCGAACGCAGTCTCCCCCCAAACGCAGCCTTCTCGGTGGGCCGAAGAGGTATCCTCGGAGGGCCCAGGATGTCCCGCCGTGTGGCCCAGGGGTCATTGCACCGGCCTTGCAGACAAGCTGCAGCGGATTCCAGCGTGAACTTCTGCCCGAAGCGGCGAGCGCAAGACGAGGCGAATGTCGCGTGGACTTTGCTGGGGGGTCTGGATTCCCGGCCAAAACAAATCCGCGCGAAGTTCTCCTCGAAATCCGGAACGAAATTATCCAGGACACTCCGGGCCCATCCTATTGTTTTCCGGTCAAAATCCGCTCTGCGATGTTGGCGCCATGACAAGGAGGCTTCCGGACGCATCCAGCTGACCCTGCCGGGCCCCCAGGGAGGGCGCCCCCCGAGACCCCGGAGGCCCCAAGAAGGTCCCAGGACCCCACGCTCGATCCCCGCCGGACCCGACGATCATCGTCGCGACTCCCTTGGGCTCCGACGCCGCGGGAAAGTCGCACCATGGCGAGCAATCACGGCCAGAGCCCTGAGAACTCATCTGTCTGCCATCATCTCGCGCGCTATGGACCTGAGGGGGCCGTGGGGCCCGAGCAAAAAACACCCCGCGTGGCAAAACTGCGACGCCCGATCGCAGGGTCCAACGAGCCCGGGCCCACCTGTCAAAGACTGCGTCACCGTGGATCCCAGGCGAGACAGGAGGCCATGGCCCCACGGGGCACCAGAGGCCCCCAGAGGTCCCAGAAACCCCCGGAGGTCCCCAGAGGTCCTGGACCCAGTGCTCGAATCCGACGCGCGCGCGCTGACGATCATTGTCGATCTCCGACGAGCCCGAGCCCGTTTTTGAGGGACTGGATCGACTCTGATCTCCGGGAGGCCCTGGCCCACAACGGCGCGCCACGGAGAGCCAGGGAGCCAGGGAAAGCCACGGTGCGGCTGCCGCAGGTTGGACGGGATGCCCCGCCGAGGTGGTGCCACGCCGGAGCAAGAGAGGCGGGTCGGACGGACCAGGACAGAATCGGACCTGGATCCATCGGGATCTCTGAGACTCGGCGGCTCTAGAGGATGCATCGGGCGCCGCGGCCGTTCCAGAGCGCTCTGGAAGGCTCAGAGAGCGTCCCAGGATGCCCTGGAACGATTTATGTCCTGGTCCTGGGGCCCCCCCCGACACATCGCCGACGCATCGGTGATGATGCTTGAAGGAAGCGGTTTCTGAGGGAAACGGGTCCTGGACTCCGGGGCTGCCCCCGAGTCTCTCGTCCTGACCGTCCTGTGATGGTCCTGGGGCTCGGGAATGGGCCCCGAGGAGGGAGGAGGGAGGAGGGAGGAGGGAGGAGGGAGGAGGGAGGAGGGAGGAGGGAGGGAGGGAGGGAGGGAGGGAGGGAGGGAGGCAGGGGGAGGAGGAGGAAGAGGAGGAGGAGGAGAAGGAGGAGGAGGAGGAGGAAGAGGAGGAGGAGGAGGAGGAGGAGGAGTGGGCCCCGAAGGCGGGGAGGAACACCTCGTGTCGGCTGTATCTGCTCCGGCCCCACGTGAACGGCTGTGGCGGACACGCCCTCCCCAGGCCGCCGACGTCCTGACGCCCCGGCCCCACTTGGGCGGCCTAGGTGGACACGCCCCCCAGAGGTGTGGACCCCTTCCTGGTTCGGTGGCAACTCATGGGAGCCTCCCATACCATCTTGTCGGCTCTTGCGAGTCGACGCTCATCGACGCTAACTCGACGCTGATCGACGCTAACTCGACGCCAATCGACGAGAGCCGACGCTAAATCGGCGCTATCTCACCGACTCCCAGACGCTAATCGACGCTAATCGATGCTAAAGACGGAATGTAAGGGTATGCAAGGCACCCATGATTTGCTACCGAACCTTCCTGGGACACCCCGTCCCCAGACAGAACCGCTGCTTCCTGGTCAGGCCCAGCCTGAACCCGGCAGCGGTGTATGCGCCACGCCCTCATGGCTTGGCCAGGAGGGCGTATACACAGCTCCTGGGTTCAGGATGGGCCTGGCCAGCGAGGAGTAGATATGTGTATAGATCCCATGACCCTGAGATCCGACGCTGCGAAAGCACTGCAGCATCGCAAGGAATCACAACGGGAGCCCCAGAGCCCCTTCCTCCTGCGGCATTTTCCGAGCTGGATCGATCCGTGGTGGTCCCATGGGCCCGGGGAAACTGGGCGACAACACGCCCGGTGTGCAAAAGTGGCGCCCGGAGCCTCACTCCGGGAGCCCGGAGTCTGAGCGGCCCGGGCGGCCTCTCTCCATGCCCAAACCCCCGACGCCATGATTTTCCCACAACGTCGACCCGCAGAGGTCTCGACCCATTCCCAGGGACCGGCTTCTCTTCCTGGGTCGTGTTTTGGAGGTCCCGAGGCCGGGTTGGGGCCTCCAGAGGCCGAAAATGCGGAAACACCTCCCGCCATGACTTGCTCATTGCCCGAGGGTGCCTGGCTCCCTGGGGCCCCCGACCTTGCAGGCATCTGAAGCCGTCTTCGAGCCATCCGAGGGCATCTTGGACTCCTCTACCTCCATTGTCTTCGTCGTCGCTGCCTACAAGGTCGGCGGCATCGGCCGTCAGGCCTTCGCAATACGGAAACGCCTCCCGCCAGGATTTTGTCCTTGCCCGAGGGGTCTGGCTCCCTGGGGCCCCCCGTCGGAGGGCCTTCGCCCTCGGGGCCCTCCTCGTCGCCGCGGTCCTGCAGCAGGCGGAGGCTACCCGCGGGCCCCCGCCAGGGGGGGCACGGCGGCGCGCCGGAGGAGCAGGAAGAGGAGGAGGAGGAGGAGGAGCAGGAGGAGGAGGAGGAGGAGCAGGAGGAGAAGGAGGAGGAGAAGGAGGAGGAGGAGCAGGAGGAGGAGGAGGAGGAGCAGCAGGAGGAGGCGGAAGAGGGCGTGTTCGCCCTGGTCCGGGCCCCAGGACCCTCGGAGCTCGGCCCGGCTCGCGGAAGGGTACACACAACAAAGACAGGGTCCGCGGCTCCGGCCGTGGTTTTTCACGATGCTGCAAGGTGTCCACGACGTCGGATCTCAGGGTACCTCGAGCTTCTGGCAGTTGCGTCGTTGGCGCGGGGCTGTGTGGACTGTTCCTGCGAACCCAGGGAGTCACCTGGGACACGCGCCTGATGCGAAGCGCAATCCCCCCCCGTGCTCGAAGCGAGGCCCCGAACACCGCATGGCCCCGAAACGCCCCATCTGTGCGCATCCCTCGGGTGCGTACCAGGTGGAGGAGGAATTCACGGGAATTTGCTGGCAATCCCAAATTGAGAGGAGCAGGAGGAGGAGGAGCAGCAGCAGCAGCAGTAACAGGAGCGAGGACAAGGAGGAGGGCGAGGAGGAGGGCGAGGAGGAAGGAATCTGGGACGGCACTCCACGGTCGAGGGACGGCACTCAGAGGCCTCTGGACGGCGATCAGAGGCCTTCGGGAAGGTGTGCAGAGGACGTTCTGCTTGTCGAGCGGCCATCTGGGCGCAAAGAGGCCCTTCACGATTGTGAAGACGCCTTGGTTGATGGTTAAAAAAACGGCTGGGCTGTAAGACAAGCCGTCTGTTTGTCCAGTGACCCTTCTGAACTGGAATGCAGCACTTTGAATGATACCTTTTGTTGTGGAAAAAACCATATGGTTGTGATGTGGTCGCTCTCCCAGGCCCCGTCATCGTCTCCTCCTCCCCCAGCACGAGACGGGGACAACGACCATGAGGCGAAGACGACAACGACGCACAGGGAGACAACGTTGACGAAGACGCTGGTGGCGAAGGCCACCCCCGACAGAGACGGCCGCGACGACGACGACCTCAAAAACGCAGACGGCGGCGACGACGACGACGACGACGACGACGACGACGACGACGACGACGCCGACGCCGACGACGACGAAGAAAAGACGACGACAACGACAACGACCACGACCACAACCACGAAGACGACGACGACGACCTTGACCACGACCGCGACCACGACGACAACGACGACGACGACCACGATCACGACGCTGCGATGACGACGACGACGACCACAACGACGACGACGACGACGACGTCGACGACGACTACGAACGACAACGACAACGACGACAGGAAACGACGACGGACGAGGACGACGGACGACGGACGACTGAAGACGACAATGACGACGACGACGACGACGACGACGACGACGACGACGAACATGAACGACGGACGATGGACGACTGCAGTCGGACGACGACGACGGCGGCGACGACGAAAGCAAACGACGAAAACGGCGATTCTGGAGAGCAGGGCCCCAGCGGGCGCGTCGGCTGGGAGGGCGCCGAGAGCGGGGCCGCGCGGATGGGGACCCCTCGAGGGGAAGGAAAGGGAGGAGGCCTTCGCAAGAGGCGGCTGGGCTCGTCAGAAGCCCTCCAACCCTCTGAGAGCAGCTGCGTCTTCGGGGGAAGACTTACAGAACTTCCCAGGAGGCCAGGGGGACTTCCGAGCCCGAGCCTTCTGGGAAGGCCCGCCCCTTCTCACTTTCCCCCCAGGCCTCGCCGCCGAAACGAGGACGAGAATGATGCCATGGTACGATTGGCTCGTACAAGTTCCAGGAATTCTGTGGCATCTAGCGGCCCTCGTTTCTGGAGCCCGCGTGGGAATATAGGAACTCTTGTCGGATCTTGGAAATCCTGGAACGGATCAGGATCATGACATTTTGCTCCTCTGACGACAGAGCGATAACTGGCGGGACTCTCTCAGGCGGGTCAGGCGGGCGGTACGTTCAGGAGGGCAGGCGGGCTTCCAAACAATCCAGCGGCCAGGGGCCCTAACGGGCTGGTCGGGCGGCTGGGACCTGACCGGGCGGGCCAGCCGGGCAGGAGCTTCAAGACGGCACTGGGCGGGCTGATAAGCAAGCAAGCGAGTGGGCAGGCTGACCCTCACAGGCGGGTCGTGCTGGCGGAAGGACTCTGCCTGGGGGATTGAGCGGGCGGGCACTACCGGGCGGGTCGGGGGGGGTCGGACGGACCATAACGGACAGGGCGACCATCAGAACGAGCGGGCTGACATTCTGCTCCTGCCACCTCCTCCTCCTCCTCCTCCTCCTCCTCACAACCACCACCACCACCACCGCCACCACCATGATCATCATCATCATCATCATCATCATCATCATCATCATCATCATCATCATCATCATCATCATCATCATCATCATCATCATCATCATCGGCAGCAGCAGCAGCAGCAGCATCAGCATCAGCATCAGCATCAGCATCAGCATCAGCATCAGCATCATCATCATCATCATCATCATCATCATCATCATCATCATCATCATCATCATCATCATCTCTTCCACCACCACCACCACCTCCATCATCATCAACAACATCAGCATTTTCATCATCATATACAGCATCACCATCATGATCATCAGCATCATCATCATCAGCAGCATCATCATGATCATCATCATCAGAGGCAGCATCATCATCATCATCATCACCACCACCACCATCATCATCATCATCATCATCATCGTCATCAGCAGCATCATCATCATGAGCAGCAGCATCGTCAATCATCAGCATCAGCATCATCATCCTCATCATCATCGTCGTCATCATCAGCATCATCATCAATCAGCATCAGCGGCATCATCAGCATCAGCATCATCATCATGATCATGCTCATCGTAATCAATGTCATCAGTATCAGCATCAGCATCAGCATCATCATCATCATCATCATCATCATCATCATCATCATCATCATCATCATAAGCATCATCATCAGCATCAGCATCGTCATCATCATCATCATCATCAGTAGCAGCAGCAGCATGATCATCAGCATCAGCAGCATCATCATCGTCATCATCAGCATCATCATAATCATCATCATCATTATCAGCATCATCGTCATCACCAGCATCATCACCATCATCATCATCATCATCATCATCGTCATTGTCACCAGAATCATAATCATCAGCATCATCATCGTCGTCATCAGTAATGTCGTCGTCATCACCATCATCACCATCATCATCATTATCAGAATCGTCAACCTCATCAGCAGCAGCATCATCAACATCGATCATCAACATTATCATCGACATAATCGCCGTTACCATCATCATCATCACCAACATCATACTCATCCTCATCCTCAGCATCATCCTCATCATCCGCATCCTCATCATCATCCTCATTCCCATCCTCACCCTCATCACCACCACCACCACAACCACCACCACCACCATCATCATCATCATCATCATCATCATCATCATCATCATTATCAACATCATCATCACCATCATGACAAAACAATCATCATCAGCATCATCACAGTCGTCGTCAGCAACATCAACATGGTCACCATCATCATCGTCAGCATCATCAGCATCATCTGCATTATCGTCATCATCATCATCATCATCATCATCATCATCATCCTCATCCTCATCATCATCATCATCATCATCATCATCATCGACAACATCGTCGTCGTCATCTCCGTCATGTCATCGCCGTCCTCACGAGTCCAGCAGCCCCCATGGTCCTCATCCTCCTCCTCCGCCTCCACATGCTCATCCTCTTCCCTCTCAGTATCACATGTTGCACATTCACCCTCATCCAAGTACTCATCGCCCAATTCATCCACACCGTCATCCTGGGCATCATCAGCAACATCATCATTACGTACATGCTAACCCCCATGCTCCCCCCCATCACCATGACAATCACCATGACAATCACCATGACAGTCACAATGATCATAATCATAATCATGGTCATCATCATTATCATCAACACCACCACCACTGATCCTCATCATCACTATCACGGTCATCATCACTACCACTCCTATTACCACCATCACCATGGTGACGATGGTCATCACGATTAAACCCGACATAATCCTCAGCATCACCATCGCCGTCATAACCACAATCACCACCATCACAGTAGTCACAACCATCATCACCATTGCAAAGATCAGCATCGTCATCACTACCATCGCCGGCACAACCATCACCATCATCTTCGTTGCCGCTGTCGTTGCCGATGTTTGCTGCGGGAGACTGCATGGTAGGGCACATGGTCAGCACGACGCGGTGCCGAGACTTCTCGCCTTTTGGAGACCAGGCACCGCACGGCACACGGGCACAGCGCGCGGGCGACAACTGGGTTGCACCCTAAGAACTAAGCACGGCACGCGGGCACGCAGGCGGCACACTTCGTTTCCTGGACTAAACACGGCACGGCAAAGCACGCGAGCACGCCACAGCACGGCACATCGCGGGCACGGCGCGGCACGCCACGGCACGAGGGCACGGCCCAGCGCGGCGCACGGCACGGCACGGCACGCGCACGCGCACGACACGGCACGGCGCGGCACGACCCTGCACCGCGCCCAGCACGGCAGCCCACGTGGGTACGGCACGGCACGGGACGGCACGCGGGCGGCAACGTCTGCGCGCTCTGAAGCTTAAGCACGGCACGGCACGGGGCACGGCACGCGTGCACTGCACAGCACGACACGGCAGCACGCGCGGCACGGCCACATGTGCAAATTCTGGCACCCAAGCACGGCACGGCGGGCAACCACTGCTTCGCTTCCAACAACCTTGGCACAGAATGGCACGCACGCACGGCACGCGGCCACGGCACCGCACCGCAGGGTACGCGCGCGTCAACCTTGTCGCATTCGCAAGCCTAATCACGGCACGACACGACAGGGGGGCAACTGTATCGCATTCTAGAACCTACGCAAGGCACGGCACTACATGGAACGCGTACACGGCACGCGGACGGCAACTGTATAGCATTACACGGCACGGCACGTGGCAACCTCCATTCTAGATTGCAAAACCGCGTTTGCCCGCAAAGAATTCAAACACCGAAGCATGTGCTGCGGGCGGCACTCCTTTGGGTATGGGCGTCCGCTCACAATCGCAAGCCGCACCCCAAAAAAACGCTGTTTCAGTATCCGTAGCATTCGTACGAATAACAATGTAAATACGAATCGGAAGAGCACGGGCATCAGTAGTGTCAGTACTAGGAGCACCTGCTGTAGTAGCAGCAGTAATACTGGTGGATATAGTCGTTGCCGGCGAAGTCATGGTAGTCGTCGTAGCAGCGGTCGTAGTAACAGTGCTAGCCGTACTAGTCGTCAAAGTAATAGTAGTACTCGTAGTAGCCCAATAGCAGTGGAAGTAGTAGTAGTAGTAGTAGCAGTAGTAGCAGTAGCGGTAGTAGTAATAGTAATAGTAGTAGTAGTAGTAGTAGTAGTAGTAGTAGTAGTAGTACTCGTAGTCAAATCGTAGTAGTAGTAGTAGTAGTAGTAGTAGTAGGTAGTAGGTAGTAGGTAGTAGGTAGTAGGAGTAGTAGTAGTAGTCGTAGTAGTCGTAGTAGTAGTAGTAGTAGTACTAGTACTAGTAGTACTAGTAGTACTGACTGGAAGTACAAGTAGTAGTAGTAGTAGTAGTAGTAGTAGTAGTAGTAGTAGTAGTGGTACTAGTAGTAGAAGTAGTAGTAGTAGTAGTAGTAGTAGTAGTAGTAGTAGTAGTAGTAGTAGTAGTAGTAGTAGTAGTAGTAGTAGTAGTAGTAGTAATAGTAGTAAAAGTAGTAGTAGTAGTAGTGGTAGTAGTAGTAGTAGCAGTGGTAGTAGTAGTACTAGGAGGAGGAGGAGTAGTAGTAATAGTAGTAATAGTAGTACCAGTAGTACAAGTATTCGTAGTGTAGTAGTAGTAGTATTCGGAGTGGTAGTAGTAGTCGTAGTAGTAGCAATAGTAGTAGTAGTACCAGCATCACTAGTAGTCGTAGTAGTCGTAGTAGTCGTAGTAGTCGTAGTAGAAATAGTAGTAGTAGTAGTAGTAATAGTAGTAGTAGAAGAAGTAGAAGTAGTAGTAGTAGTAGTAAGAATAGAAGTAGGAGTAGTCGTAGCAGCAGAGGCAGGAGTTGACGCAGTGGCAGTAGTAGTGGTGGCAGTAGTAATAGCAGTAGTAGTAGCGATAGCAACCAAAAGAATTGTTGTACATACTGACCCGCCAGCGAACATTATCACCCCACTGCTCGTACATACCGTGCTGCACAAGTTCGCGAAGCACTGTGCCATGATGAACCCCGCTGAATCTCCAAAACGGGGGCGCCGCCCAGCACAAGTCACGTACGGACGCGTCCGTAGTAGTAGTAGTAGTAGTAGTAGAAGTAGTAGTAGTAGTAGTAGTAGTAACAGCAGCAGCAGCAGTGGTAGTAGTAGTAGTGGAATAGTGATAGTGAGAGTAGTAGTAGTAATAATAGTAGTAGTAGTAGTAGTAGTAGTAGTAGTGACAGTATACGTCGCAATCGTACGAATACCAACGATAATACGAATAGGAAGAGCACGGGCATCAGTAGTGTCTGAACTAGGAGCACCTGCTGTAGTAGCAGCAGTAATACTGGTGGATATAGCCGTTGCCGGCGCAATGATGGTAGTCGTCGTAGCAGCGGTCGTAGTAGTAGTGGTAGCCGTACGTGTCGTAAAAGTACTAGTACTACTCGTAGTAGTAGTTGTAATAGCAGTAGTAGTAGTAGTAGTCGTAGTAGTAGTAGTAGTGGTAGTAGTAGTAGTAGTGAGAGTAGCAATAGCAGTAGCAGTAGTAGTGAAGTAGTAGTAGTAGTAGTAGTAGCACTAGTAGAAGAAGGAAGAAGTAGTGGCAGTAGTGGTAGTATTAGTAGTGGCCGTAGTAGCAGACGTAATAGCGGTAGAAGAAATAGTACTAGTAGCAGTAATAGTGGTGGTAGTAGTAGTGGCACTTCAAATGGTAGTAGTCGTAGCTAGTAGTAGTAGGAAGAAGTAAGAGCGGGAGTAGTAGTAGTAGTAGTAGTAGTAGTAGTAGGAGTAGTAGTGGTAGTAGTAGTAGTAGTAGTAGTAGTGAGTCAGGAGAAATAGTAGTAGTGATAATAGTAGTAGTAGTAGTAGCAGTAGAAGTAGCAGTAGCAGTGGCCGTAGAAGAAGTAGTAGTAGTAGTAGTAGTAGTAGCAGTAGTATCCGTAGTAGCAGAAGTAGTAGTCATAGTAGTAATAGCACGAGTAATATTAATAGTAGCAGTGGTGGTAGTACTAGCTAGTAGCAGCAGTAGTAATAGCAGTAGTAGCAGTGATAGTAGTAACTAGTACTAGTACTAGTAGTAGTAGTAGTAGTAGTACTACTACTACTACTACTACTAGTAGTAGTAGTAGTAGTAGTAGTAGTAGTAGCCGTCGTCGTCGTAGTACGAACGGTAGTAGTAAGTAGTAATTATATAAGCCGTAGTAGTAATGATAGTACTAGTAATAATAATAGTAATCGTAATGGTAATAATAAAAGTAGTGGTACTAGTAATAGTAATAGTAGTAGTAGTAGTAGTAGTTGTAGTAGTAGTAGTAGTAGCTGCTTAATGTAGAAACAGCAGCAGCAGTACTGGTAGTGGCAGCGGTAGTAGTAGGAGGAATCGTGGGAGAAGTAGCACAAGTAAAAGTAGTAGTGTTGGCGTAATACACCACACAACACACGGACGCGCCACATAGCTCGCCTGCAGTATGTGCACCAATGATAGCACAGAAAGAAAACCCAGAATGTACCGCAGTTCACGATACACCGTCTATGATACGGCCAATGACAGGAAAAGTGCGGCGCGCAGTACCAAGTGTTGTGCAAAGTACTGCTGCGGGGGTTATCGTAGTAGTAGCAATACCGTGCACAGTGATCGCATCAAAACAGTAGCACATCGAGCAATACGCAGTACACGGGAGGAGCGGGTTAGCAAAATACTAATAGCACGGCGCAGCTGCGCTGCAGAGGCGATTGTAGCCGCTCAATGCTATGCAAGTGCACCTCGCACAATACTACTGTGCACGTTTGCTGTCGGCGTTCTACTGGCAGTGGCGGGGTAAGTAGAACACTCGTGAAAGTCAGGATCGCCTGAGTTGCATAATGTTCAAAAGCTCGCGTCCTTCTCATCATCGCTAACACCATCGTACTCATTGGTTGAACTCCACAGCATCGTATGATTAGTCGCTCACCAGGTCTCAGTGCGTAATGATGTTTTTAAGCGCGGCGAAGATCGAACGAAGCGGCCGCCGCCATCCCACTTGACGCTCTGAAAAATCGTTCCTGTCACACACACACACACACACACACGCCGTTTCAACAACTCAACCCACATGATGAGGGATGGCACTTAAGGAAATGTCTGGGAGGGTCCGCCACGCACCAGCGCCCTGGGCGATGATTAGTAAATGGGGGTCCAAGCCTGCTCGTGGGCGTCGTCGTCGTCACTGAGGCTATTCAGTCGCCCTCTCCAGAACCACTCCCTGCGGCAAAAAACTTTGAAACGGCGCACGATAACATGGATTACAAATCCGTGTATCTGGCACGCGGGCGCGGATGCACCCAGTGCCGCCTGATTCTGCAACGGTGCGCGCAAACTTTGCATGAAAGCAGGACCCGTCGCTAATCCACGCGCCTCAATCCATGTGAGCGTTTCCTCGATATGCTCGACATGGTTCCTCCTCTGCGTGCTCTCAACACCCGTCCCACATAATACGGCCGCAACTGTGGCCGTATAGTGAGGGATGCGGCCGAAGAGTGGAGCAGGCGGGAGAATGACGAGGAGGAGGAGCAAGATGAGGACGAGGAGGTGGAGTTGAAGGAGGAGGGGGGACGCAGAAGGACATACTAGTACTATGCGTCCTCCTCGGAGGCGTGCGTACGGCCCGAACAGATAGTACCAACGTCTTGAATATCGCTCCCCAAGCGGCAAAGCCGGAAAGCACACGCCACGGAGCCTATCTTATGAGAAGTTTTCGGCGCGCGCAGGGGCGACGACGACACAGTATCACTACGTTCGGGTGACGCCGAGGAAGGGGGAGGAGGAGAAGCATGAGAGCGGAAGGAGGAGGGGGATGAGAAACAGAAGAAGGGCGGGAAGAGCGCGGACTGTAGGGGGTAGGGGTAGGGTTCGCATGCGGTCCCCGAGACTGGGCGGGGAGGAGGGAGGAAAGCGTCTCTGAGTGGCCATGCCCCGGAGTCCCACTCGCGACGGGCGGCCGGGCCGCGAGGCGCGCGGGGGATCTTTGAGGGCGGCGTCCCGCGCCGCGCGCTGCGCCAGCAGCTCGTCCTGGCCACGGGCGTGCGAGGGGGGCCCTCCCCTGCTGCCATCATCATCTAAAGCTGAATCTTCATCATCACCAGCATCATCATCATCATCATCATCATCATCATCATCATCATCATCATCAGCAGCAGCAGCAGCAGCAGCAGTATCAATAGCACCGTCATCATCATCATCATAATCATCATCATCATCATCATCATCATCATCCTCATCCTCATCCTCATCCTCATCCTCATGCTCATCATCATCATCATCATCATCATCATCATCATCATCATCATCATCATCATCATCATCATCATCCTCATCCTCATCCTCATGCTCATCATCATCATCATCATCATCATCATCATCATCATCACCAACATCATCACCATCACCATCACCATCACCATCATCCTTAGCAGCAGCATCATCATCATCCAAGTTCAGCCTCGTCAGTCTTATTATCATCGTCATCCTCATCATCACCACCATCATCACCATCGCCATCATCATGGCATTATCATGTATCGACAGACGCGCGCCAAAGCGTCATGTGTGCGTTGGGCGCCAGGCCCACGTACCCCACCCCCGAAGCCAGAATCAACCTCACAACCGCTGCTGCGACTAACACCTCAGGAGCCATGCTCACACACGTCATCCAACGTAGAAAGGCCACCAACTTCGGCCCTCACATGATCATGCGTTGCCCCGTCGGGCCGCGACCGCAAGGCGCACTCCAGAGACCATGCGTCGCCCCGTCGGGCCGCGATCACTGGGACACAAAGGTCAGGCATGCCCCGTGGGGGCCCGACCTAGATCAGGCTGCCTCACGGGGCCGTGATCACTGGATTGAGAAGAATCCTGGACCTACTCGCATGCGGCGAAGGATGGGCACCACTGGGATATACTCAGCCTCTGGGGTCAACGCGGCCCTCCAGGGCCAGTCTCTGAGACAACAACGAAAAATCTCTCCGAGAGCGGGGTACGGAGGTCCCTAGCAACAAGACAGGGCACGGTCGAGCCCCATATCTCAAGGCCGAACCGGCAGGAACATGGGTTTGGGAGCATCCGAAGGCCGGCAACTGGGCCCAAACAGCTGCGGAGAAGACGTCGCGCTACTCGTTGCTTCCCCGCCATACTCCCACACGCTGAGCTGTACATTCACCATGGCTGTCCTTCTCATCGACAGACGCGCGCCAGTTCGCCGCGCGTGCGCGTTGGGCACCAGCCTCACGCACCCCACCTCCGAGGCCAGATTCAACCTCACAATCGCTGTTGTGCCTAACACCTTAGGGGCCATGCATACACGCGTCCTCCAACGTAGAAGGCCACCAGCTTGCACCCTCACACGATCATGCGTTGCCTCGTCGGGCCGTGACCACAGGGCGCACTCCAGAGACCATGCGTCGCCCCGTCGGGCCGCGATCACTGGGACACAGAGTTCAGGCATACCCCGTGGGGCCCCGACCTAGATCAGGCTGCCTCACGGGGCCGTGATCACTGGGTTGTGAGGAATGCTGGACCTGCTCGCCTGCGGCGAGGGGTGGGCGCCACTGGGGTATACTCAGCCTCTGGGGTCAACGCGGCCCTCCAGGGCCAGTCTCTGCGACGCCAATGACACGCTCCAATGTTTCCCCGCTGTTCCCCTGGCTAACACGCCTCCTGGGCGAAGCCGACGGCAGGGCAGGAAGGCAAAAACGTCGAATGGCCCCGGGCTGGGGAACCTCGCGCAGGAGCTCGTCGTATACAGACGCCCCGGCTTCTCAGGCTGTGGCACGCTGGAGCGCCTATACACCGAACTCCTCCGCCCGAAGCGGATGGCTCCGTGGCCGACTCAACGACGTGGTGTGCAAATCGAGCTCCTCCGACTTCCCCCTCCTCCCAGGGCATGTTTGCGTCCCCGATCCAAGATCGTGTTTTCCCCAAATGCCGAAAAGGAGGGAAAACGCTGGGATTGAAAAAATCTCATCGAAGGACCAGGCGACGGCCCCCAGAGGCCGAAGACGACGAGAAACCTCACACGTGTGCGGGCCAGAGGGGGCCAGGGAACATCTCGAAAGAAGAAGATGGAGGAGGAGGAGGAAGAGGAGGAGGAGGAGGAGGAGGACTAGGCGGTGGAGGAGAAGGCGGAGGAGGAGGAGGAAGACGTGCCCATACCTCTACCCTGCCCTCGCTTCCCCCTCGTTTATGAAAACAGACAGCCAGGCAGAGCGGTCTGCAGACCAGCCGCGATGGGCCGGGCCCTTCGTGGCGCCTGCAAGAACAGCGCCTGGGCAGACCGAGAATCACAGGGCATGGCGGGCTGGAAGCAGCGACCTGCCAAAGAGGCGAGGAGTAGGACGAGGAGGAGGGGGAGGGGGAGGAGGGGGAAGGAGGGGGAGAACCAGGGGGCCGCGCCGAAGTGTCGACCCGTCGCCGGCGCGGACGTCCTGTGCGTCATGGCACGACGAGGGGACAGGAAAGCTGGGAGAGGCCATGGCCCCAACCCCGACATCCCTCCGCCATCCACCTCCTCCACCTCCTCCTCCTCCTCCTCCTCCTCCTCCTCCTCCTCCTTTTCCTCCTCCTTCTCCTCCTCACCCTTCTCCTCCTCCTCCTCCTCCCCTCCTCCTCGCCACCCCTCCTCGCCACCAGCCCTTGGACGCCCCCTCGACTACGCACCCTCTGGCGGCCTCCGCGGCGGCAGCCTCCACGGCCCTCGCCTCCGCCGCACGCCCAGCAGCGGCCACGGCGGCCTCCACGGGCCGCCGCGCGCAGCGCCCCGACAGCACCGGCCAGCGACGCCCCCGCACAAGTGAAGCCAGGAAGAACACAACATCGGATCGGGACCAGGGTAAGCCCCACGACACCCCCAGGAGGGCTCCAAAAGCTTCCAACAAGAACGGCCCCACGAAGGCTCCAAGATGACCCAAGGGCCCTCCAACAGGCATCCTAAGCAAACAAAACGCAACAGCCGTTACCTCTTTTGTCGCTCCCCTATCCTATGTGTTCCCTTCCTCCTCCTCCTCATCCTCCTCCTCCTGCTGCTGCTGCTACTGCTGTTCCTCCTCCTCATCCTCCTCCTCCTCCTCCTTTTCCTCCTCCTCCTCGTTTTCCCCCCTTCCCTCATCATCCTCGTCGTCCTCCATCCTTTTTACCTCATAACGAACTCCTCCCTGTCGCAACCCCAAACATGTCGATTGGGCGGGCCTAACGTTTCGCCTGACAGTTCATCACATATTTTGACCCTGAACTGTCGAATTTGCACCAGCTTCGCGGATGGAGGACAATGGTTTTCAAAATGTGGTTCTCGCCCCAACGCCGCGCACATTGATTTTAGACGATTGTAACAAATTTACGAATGGGCATCGGGCCGCTTTCAACATGCGGTTTCCGCTTTAACGCCACGCACAGGCATCCTATGCAGCAGATTTACAGATGACGGGCGGATATGTTTCAGAACGTGTCTCCCGTTTCAGCTCCACACACACACACTCGTCTTAACAGGATGCAACAGCTTGACAGATGGGGAGCGGGTCCTTTTTTTCAAAAGTGGACCTCGTCAAGTTCGCCAACAGCTTCACAGATGGATGGCGGTTCCTTATCGACATGTGGTTCACGTTTTAGCGCCGCACACATTCGTCACAACAGTTTGTAGCACTTTCAATATCGGCGACACGTAAGAGTGACCCTAGGCAAGAGTGCCCTCTGGTGCGCGGCCTTAGGGAGGCCCGTGGGGGCCTGGAGCAACCGCGCAAGCCGAGGCCGTCGGATTGCATCAACGATCGGCGGGGCGCGCTTCGACAGATCCCTAGCGCCAGCAGGCAACTGCGGACTTCCGCAAATTCGTTCCAGGCGCCCCAGAACACCTGCCCGAGGGCTCTGCGAAGCCAGACGTAATCGGGCGCCACCGCGAAATGTTCTGGCACTGCCGGGCCGCATCGCGATGACGTCTGACTGGGCCCGGCGTCAAGGCCGAAACCGGGCCGAAACTTGGCCCCCCCGCGGCCGCAAATAACTTTCAATAGTAAAGAATTGACTTGTAAAGCGCGGAATGCGAAAAGTTATTCAAAGTTAGTCAAAGTTATTCAAAGTTAGTCACAGTTATTCCAGGACGCCTTCGGACCGGTCCCAAAGTGGAGAGCACGTCGCCCGCTCGACTGGGCCCCCTTCGCCAAATGAAGCACGCGGCAGAATGCACCGTGCATGCGTTGCGATCGATTGCGAGGGGCGCACCCTGAATCAAGCGCGCTCTGATGCGATCGCAGACTGGCGCAGCGTGCGCCGACGCGACGCCGAGAACCAGGACCTCGAGGCAATGGAGGAGGATGCCCGGACGGCAGAGCGCGCCAAGAGGGCCTCCGCCCGTGCTGCAGAGGACGCGGGAGCAAAGGAACGCATCAAGCGAGCTAGACAGCAAGCCGCTGCGGCACCAACACAACAGCAGCAGCCACAACGACCACAACAACCAGCACAACAACAACGACCGCACCAACCACGACAACACAACCACCGACGGCCCCTACGAGCGGAGGCGCCAAAAGGAAGAACCCTTTTGAAGCAATCGACCCCGGCACCAACGGCGGCGACTGCGGCTTCCGAGCTCTCGCGGCCAGCTGGGCTCTTCTTGGTGGAGTAGACAAGGCCACGCGAGACAACACGCTCCAGCATGGGAAGCTGGAGCGAATGGCCAAGACCTTACGGACACAACTCGCATTGCGCATCAGTGAAGACAGGTCATACTATGAAGAATTTTGGGGCGCAGTGCCGATGCGTGAAGACCACGAAGACGGGGCTGTGCCGACCACGTGGGAAGAATATGTGACGGCTTGCAAGCGACCCAAACGATGGATTGACGGGCTATCGTACCAGGCGGCTTGCGACCATTTCACACGGCATAGTTACACTTACACTGGCATTGGGGATGTTTTACAGAATGTCAACTGGGTGGACAAGGTTACGTGGTTCCCAAGGGACGCTGCGAAGGCACGGTCTGCTCTACTACAACCAGCCCTGCACGTGGGCACTTGGAAGGGGCACTGCTACATCCTACTGCCAGACGACAGCGAGAGGCACAAAAAGGAGACCAAACGACCGAGCCAACAGCAAGTGCAGGAACGCATGCGCAAAGCTCATCGGTTCGGAGGGCCGAAAAGTATGACGAGCGAGGACTCCTGGCTGGGACCTCTCGGGCGCGGCTCTGCGTCAAGGAGGGCGCCATCTAGCGCCCCTGACTCCTGGTTAGGGCCCCTGGACAGGGCGCCGCCTACCCGACCGACCGGGCGACGCCTTTCTGAGGCACCACCGACTCCAGCACCGACAGCAGCTTCTACCAAACGACCGACAAGCAAACCTACCACGACTCCAGCTACGGCGACGCGGACACGACGCCCTTCCGAAGCACCACCGACGCCGGCACCGACGGCTGCTTCCACCAAGCGACCGACAGGCAAACCGACCACGACACCAGCGGCGGCGACACGGAAACGACGCCCTTCTGAAGCACCACCGACGCCAGCACCGACCACGACACCAGCTACGACGACGCGGAAACGCCAGCTGGCACGCGCCTTGAAGAAGGCGAGACCAACGACGACCCCGCCTCCCGCGCCCAGCCGGCAGAGGCCTCTACGGAAGCCCGCGGCGGCAGCTCCTGCACCACTTCAGCTCTGCGCGGACTACGCTGGCGCTCGGAGGTCCACCGCCTCCGTGCCAACCACTGCTATACGGACTGGGAGCAAGGGGAACGGCGGAGGAGCAGGAGGAGGAGCAGATCCAACCCCTGTCCCTGTGACAGAACGACTCACGTGGAGATGTGGTATCTGCCAGGAGCTGATTACCGCGCCAGTATGTACCAAAGTCACACGCTCAGCCTGGAACTGGAGGAACAAGGACGGCGTAATCAACAGGAAGGAGAAGTACACTGTGGATCCCAACTACTATATCAGACACGAAAGAGGGAAGCATCTTGTGAACAAGCACAAAGGGGACCGCACTGGAGCTGGTACGATGCGCGCGCCGAACCCACCTGCCCAGCTGACCCACGCCCTTCCCGACGACCAGGCGCGATGGAAGTGCCCTATTGGTGGAATCAAGCAGGCTCCCTCGACCAACACTGTCGCCTCGTGGAAAATTCGGCGCGACCACAAGGCGAAGGAGCACCCAGGATACACCCAGCAACAGTGGCGGCTCCTTGCCAGACGGCAGACCCTCCTCAGGAAGTCCTTTGACGGCAAGCTGGACCAGCATTGGCGCGACTGCGGCAAAGCCGCCACCCCGCTCCCTCCCCTTCCGCCCGAGCAGGTGCGGACCAAGGAGGAGCGGCGCAGACGGCGACAAGCGATCCGTAAGGACAGGGCTGCCACGGTTGCTGCAACAGTGGCGCCGGCCTCTCGCTGCTGAGGCGGGCCTCGCGCCGGCGTGCCCTCCGAGAACAACTCCAGAACCAATCAAACTTGCGACCATCAATCTTGCCTCTTGGTCACGACACGGCGCGGCCCTCCTGGAGGCAGCGGAGGCAGACGGAATCGAGGCGATCTTGGTACAAGAGACTCAGATCACGACTAGTGACACACAGGCAGCCCGTCGGCTGGCTGCAACCAAGGGATGGGTGTGGACGACTGGTACTGCCACAGCTACACACACCTTGGGACGGTATGGGCGTTCTCGCGACGAAGTGGGCGGGCTCTGTGTGCTTACACAACGGCGTGCACGAGCCACCTACATCGATCACGTACGAAACACCGACAACCACGGAGCCCCCGGTGGGGGAGAAGCGGCTATGTTCCGACTGGAGACGGCCACGAACAGCATTATTATTGCCAACGTACACCTGCGTGCAATGGCAGACGACCAATCAAGACTTGACATTCTCCACTGGGTTGGAGAGCAACACGCACGGATTGGCTCTGGGCTCCCGATTGTCATCGCAGGGGACTTCAACCTCCTGCCAGACGACGATATGATTGTGGACATTGGATCATTCTTGGGTCTGCGCGTAACAGCCCCTACGACACCAACGCGGTGGAACAGCGACAGGACTTTGGACTATTTCTTGGGGTCAAATACGATCAACCTGGACAGCATCACTGTACATGGATGCCATCTCTCCGACCACAAACTGGTGCATGTGATGGTCGACATGAAAGCCGTGCAGCCAGCAAAGGGCGTTGCCTGGAGACGAGCCGCGCGTTTCGCCTTGCCACAGAGCGCGTCCAGGCTGACTCCCAACACAACGACCGCGACCAAGACTACCAACACCACGACTACTACTACAGCTACTCCACTTACCCAACATAACTCTCCCACTCCAACTCCTGCTCCGGCTCCTACCCACCCACCGACTCCTGCCCCAACTCCAGGAGGGACGTTTGTCGGCAGTAACGGCGAGGGAGGAGAGGGAGAGGGAGGAGCAGCTGAACAGAGGCAGAAGGAAGCGAAGGAGGACGAGCAAGCACGGGCTGTGTACATCGAGCGCTTGGCCACACAATGGCGCTCACGGTCCAGGGGTGTGCCGGATCAGATTGTTTCTGTTTCGGATCGCTGGATGTGGTGGTGCATGCGTGCGGAATCTTGCTTACGTTCAGAACCAGATTTGCTCGTCCGCGACGGCGAGGTTGGGAAATCGTCCTTTGAATACGCACCGTGGTCACGGAAAGAATCGGGGAACGACTCGTATACGAAACATGAGAGACAGCTCCGGCGCCTCCTCCAACACTTAGGGGAGATGCCTGGCAGGAGGGGGAGACATGCAGCC